AGTGTCAGAGCACAGTTCTGATGGAGGTATTCTTTTTAAACAGATGTTTATTGTACTTTTTAAACTTCATTTTCATAAATTATTTAATGTGTTGCTTTCATAACACATGCACATAGGTGATGACAAAACTTCGAAGATGAAAGGCAAAAGGGTCACCGATCAAGATTCTTTAAGGGCCTCTAAGAAAGTTAAGACTGAAAGTTTGCTTCTAGCTGATGAAGATTGGGTGTTTGAGCATGCTGTTAAGGGGGGGCCTAGCACAAGTAATGGTTTGCCTACCACATTGGTAGGAAAGGATCAGCCTAAACACAGTGAACGTTCTTCTCATCGGGACTCAAAGTTAGATAAGGACCGACAACAGGGCTATGGTAAAAGACCAAAGGACAAAGTTCAGGGTTCCTTAACTGATGGATCACTGGATATGGCAAATTGTGATGGTGGGGAAATTTCAAGAAAGAGGAAAGTTGATGAATGTATTGATGGTCAATTAAACACAGGTTCCCTCCAAAGTATGGGTAATAACCTCCAGGATAGCAGAGTGTTTGTAAAGGAAGAGTTCAGCGAGAATGACTACAGAAGGGAAAAGAAGGCCAGGGTAACTAAGTCTGGGGGTAAGGATTCCTCTGCCAGTAAAAGCAGTGGTAAACTGGAGAAAAAAAGTAGGCATACAAAGAATCACCGAAGTGGGCAAGATCCAGATATCACTCTGTCCCAAAGGAGCTTGGATGGTACAGATTCATTGAAAAAGGATTTTGGATCTGCCCAACCTTCTTTAGCAGCTACCTCAAGCTCATCTAAGGTTTCTGGTTCACATAAATCAAAATCTGGTTCGCATAAATCAAAAACTGGCTTCCATGAAACAAAAGGCTCACCGGTAGAATCAGTTTCTTCATCACCTATGAGAATTGCTAATCCAGATAAAATTCCATCAACAAGGAGGAATGTTAGAGGGAAAGATGAGTCTCGTGATGCTGGTCTTTTGGTTGCAGGTAGCCCAAGAAGATGCTCAGATGGTGAAGATAATGATGGGAGCGACCGGTCAGGGATAGGAAGGAAGGAAAAAACTTCTGCTGCAGCTCAACATGGGTCCCTTGAGTCCTCTGCACTTCATTTGCACTATAAGGACGGTGGTCAATTAGGTGACAGTAAAGCTAAGGGACCAATTGAATCTTCTCCTGATATTAGAAAAGGCCAATTTATGAATGGTACTGTTGATTATTTAGGCCAAGAGGCTCAATATTCTGGTAAATTAGCCACAATGGATGAACACTGTGATGAAGAAAATCAGAATAACAACCATGTTCTTGCTGGTGCTTCTCGTCCAAGAAAGTCAGGCAAGGGATCCTCACGGTCAAAGGATAGAAGTCATAGTTTTAAATCTGATTCTGTTGATGAACAGCAAGATCGTGCACCGTCATATGAGGTAAAACCTAGGGATCAAAGAAATAAGTTTCAGGAGAGGTTTGGAGTTAAGTCCGATGAAAGTGAGAATAGATTTGTTGATAATAAAGAATCTGTGGGAAAATTGTCTGGTGAGAGTAGCAAAAGAGAAAGTCAATCAAATGTTGGGGTTCAGGGCCGTTCAGACGCTAAACCAGATGCCACAGGAGTTCAAGATGTAATGTCTACTGTGAAGCAGAATATTGTGCAGGACAGTGATGGTGAAAAATATACAAAGAGGGTCCACCCTGACAAATCTGATCATGCAGAAATTGCTTCTGGGAGAGGGAAGTCAGTATCGTTGCCACCCTCTGGAGGAACTCAAAATGAGATGCTTTCTCGTTGCCCCCGCCCAGTTTCTGGGTCCCAAAAGGGAAATGGAGTTGATGGATCTCAAGGTGATGATGCATTGAAGATACAAAAACAAATAAAGAAGGCTGATCTTCAAAATGGAACTCAGCACAGTAGTTCAAGACATACTACATCAGGTGGACGTAGGATCAGGGATGTTGATGCACCAAGTCCACTGAGAAAGGATTCCTCAAGTCAGGCAGCTACCAATGCCTTGAAGGAGGCTAAAGATTTAAAGCATCTAGCTGATCGTGTCAAGGTTTTACCTTGCTCTTTTATCTTATCTGTTGCATTTTTTCCCCTTTTTCCTAACCTCTAGCAAGTTGATTTTTTTTTAATATTTGTTAAAAAAATTCCCTCAGAACTCTGGTTCAAATGCGGAGAGCACTGCACTTTACTTCCAGGCAGCACTGAAGTTTCTTCATGGTGCCTCTCTACTTGAATCTTGTAACAGTGATAGTGCCAAACATGGAGAGATGATTCAGTCTATGCAAATGTATAGTAGCACTGCGAAGCTCTGCGAGTAAGTTAAATATTAGGTGCTCCAGTATATGTTCTCTTCCTTTTGTAATCCTAAGTTGCTACACTTTGTTGGAGCTTGATCTTGTATTAGTTGAAAAAATTCCTGCAACATGGAATTATCTGTTATTGCATTTTGTTTGGGGATGATTTCATTTTTGTGGTTATTGATTTTTTGTTGTTGTTTATCAATTAATTTTTCAGGTTTTGTGCCCACGAGTATGAGAGATTAAAGGACATGGCTGCTGCTTCTTTGGCCTACAAATGTATGGAGGTGGCATATATGAGGGTCATCTATTCGTCTCATGCCAGTGCAAGTAGAGATCGACATGAATTGCAGACAGCTTTACAAATGGTTCCTCCTGGTAATTCAAAGAACCCAGTGATTGTACTGGCTGAAATCCTTCTTGCTGGTAGTCTGTGTAGTGTTTAACATTGAAATTGTTGTTTAGTGGCTCTTCTGCACCTATGCAGTGATCAGAGAACACTGGCCTCTGATATTTACTTTGGAATTTAGTTACTTAATCTGTGAAAAGATCTCTGCGTCAGAAAGTTGCATCTTAGAAGCAGATCAAAATTGATTGCTCTGCATGAATGATTAGCTTACTTGCTTCCCATGCGTGTCTCTTTTCTTATATACTGTGAATGTGTTCTTTGGTATCTTCAAATCAGAGGAGCTTCAGACATACTGTCTTTCTGGTCACTTTCTTTTTGTGTTGTTTTGTTCCTGCAGACACAGATTCTGTATTAGTTGGTTGACTTGAGTTTGTAAATCATCAGTGTTCTAGTTGCTATTTGACATGCAAGGTTTACCAATTTTTACAAATTTGGCTTTGGACCTAAGCTTAGGACAGGCCTTATTGGTATGCATGCATATGAGTAGATATTTTCAAGTAAGCCTACTCATTGGTTTCTCTGTTTTTCCAGCCCCTTTTATCACCTTCTTCTTTTGTATCTTTTTTGATGGACATTAAATGTCTTAATGAATAATGTTAATATGGCACTGAATGACACAAAGTTACTTTTAACTTCTTTTTTTAATAATGGTTGTTTTCATATCAGGTGAGTCTCCTTCTTCTTCTGCCTCTGATGTTGATAACTTAAACCACTCAACAACAGCAGACAAGGTTGCTTTTCCGAAAGGTGTTACTTCTCCTCAGGTTGCTGGAAATCATGTTATTTCTGCTCGAAACCGTCCCAACTTTGTGCGGTTGCTCAATTTTGTAAGTAGAGAGTTTTGCTTCCTATATAATTTTTTTTATAAAGCTTCACATGTAATTTTGAAATTGTAATTCATGTGTTTTTGATATGGTATGAGAGTGAAAGCATTACTGAACACCTCTACCCCCACCCCTACTCCCCCTTTTCCCTCAAAACAGTTTTTTGCTTTCTCAGTTCTCCCAAACCTTTTCTACCCACTATAGCCTGGACCCAAAGGCCACCGGTTCTGTATGCTGAAATTGCACATGTGCCCCAGCAGCTTTGTGCTTTCAAGCACGAGAAGATATATATTCTTGCCTGTGACCTGTGGCTGTTGTGATTTACTGCATCATGTCACTCTGATCTACAGCTTGTATATCTTATTTTAGAGTCTAATCATAACCAAAACCAAATGTGATTATTTGCAGGCACAGGATGTAAATTATGCAATGGAAGCTTCAAGGAAATCACGAATTGCTTTTGCAGCTGCTAATTTAAGTTTGGGAGGGGCTGAAAGTGGGGAGGTTATATCGTTTGTGAAAAAGGCTCTTGATTTTAACTTCCAAGACGTAGAGGGACTGCTACGTTTGGTACGCCTGGCAATGGAAGCCATTAGCCATTAAGAGAAAAAAATCTGGTTGGTGAGGATGATTTTATACTAGGAGGAAATTTTATTTTGACGGTTTGTCCTTGGGTATGAAGTCCTAGAGGAGAAAAGGGGCCAGTTCTTCCTTCTGCAATCCCTACCACTTCCATTGTAAAACTGGCAAGTGCCTGCTTTCCAACACTGTACATGTGTGTAATACTAGATAAATCTGGGGTTTTCAGTGTATTCTTTCAGAAGCTTCAACTGCATTCTGACACAGCAATGGGATGTCCTCTGTTAATGTCCTTCTCAAGATGGTATTGAGGACATGCAATTCATAAGGTTTATGCGAAATTGTTCTAAGTCGTATAAATAGGTGATTATACTCCATAAAGGATAGTGGTTGAAGAAATAATTTTGTATAAAGATAGAGAAGCCAATTATAGATTGAGGCAGGGTGGTAGAATTCTAATAGTAGAGTTTGCCATTGTTTTGACATTATTGTTCCCCAGAGGCAGTTTTAGTTCACCTGACTAGTTAATTTGTTAATACTATTTTACTTGGAGACCTCTTTAGGAGAATACTGGGATGTGCACCAGCATGTGCTTGCTCTTTTGCCACAGTGACTGCTGTTTTCTCAGTTCAAGCACTAAGAAGCGGGCCACTCTACTTCGCAGTATCAGGTTTGCTACTCTTAAAGCCTGCTTTAAAATATAAAAATTGCCACATCGAGTCAATTTTCTTTCTGTTTTCTTCTCCTTTTCCATATCTGCTTTTCTATTCGTTCAGTTTCACCTTCAGTATTTGTATTTGTGCAGATCAGCTGCTGTAGTATCTGCCGTGGTATATACTTCTGATTGATCAAGATGAGTGGAAAGAATATAGGAAAAAATA